AAAAAAAAAAAAAAAAAAAATAATAATAATAATAATAATAATAATAATAATAATAATAATAATAATAATAATAATAAGAACGAGAGAATTGTTTTGGGATCGCTGTACCTTCGCGTAGGCATTCCTTAAAAAGATCAAAATACCTTAATTTGAACAATATGCGTGTACATACAAAAACAAATACGTATATATATAGATTTGATACCTTAAAAACCACGACATGCCTTTCGATAATCTTAAATTTTTCGTCACGTGAGCAGCGTGACCTGCAGCGCAAGGGCACTACTCCCGTCATGTTTCTTCGTCGTTTTATTCTAATAAATAATCCGAGCGAGAATAATAATTTTAGCCAGGGCGCTACTTTAGATATATAAAGTGGCTACTTTAGATAAATCGCTACTTCAAATGCGACATATATACGGTTAGAACAAAATATTTAATATTCTCAAATGATCAACTAAAAATCGATATTATTTGTTATATCGACAGTTAGTCTGTATTACGCAAGTGGGAAAAATAGTTAACGCATAATAATATATAATCAACAGTGTCATGCGGACCAATTAAATGCCATGCCCAGAATCGCACAAACACATTTGAAATATACACTACGTTGTACGTTGTACAAACTCCGTTCCTGGTATATGGAGAACGATATTCTAATAAAGCCAGATATATACGTACAGATTTGGTAAAGCGAAAATAAAAATTATGTAACAAGTCATTAAATAACTTTGATAAAAGATTAATATTATGTAGGCACATACGTGGCTAAAATTTCATATCCAAATACGAATTAATATTTTGCCAAAAGCTTGAAAGTACGTACATGGCTTGAATTTCATATCCGAGTACAGATAAATACATCGTAAAAGTTAGAAATTATTTTTGAATTAAGTTTAGTGTTCAAATTTCTTTTAACCTAAAAATTAAGGTTTAAGTTTTTTGTAAGACCGTAAATAATATAAATATGAATTTGAACGTGAAATAAAAAACTTCAATTATATTATTGAAAGATTAAATCGCGTAAAGATAAAAAATATGTCAAAAGCTCAAAATTTTTTTACCAAATTGGTGAGAAATGAAAATCCTTTTAATACATTGGAAACTGACGAAGCTGACGGCTCAAATGCATGTAATATGCCAAAGATGAGACTATATTATAATACATGCTGTAAGGTGGCAGGCGAACATATGGATAACCCCTGGAAATATGTTCGTGAAGACATTTTATTTCTCATTTTTCATTGGATTGATGTAATTAAATTCTTACTCGACAATAGCATTTTCGGGATACGATTCAATATCTCCAAGAATCCAGATAGGGGAGCTGATGAACTCGATTTATCGTATTGGAGAAATTGGAAATGTATACTGTTTCAATTATGGTGTTTTTTCAACACACTTCCTTCCATTCTTCTCTATCCAATTAGGGAGATGCAATTAAAAGAAGAGGAGTGTCGTGAACCTTTGATCAATGTAAAAGAGCATAATGATGAAAGATGGTTTTTTATTAACGGTGTCATGGTAAATAATCATTGGTTAGATGAAAATTGCAAACGTTTAGAGTATCGTTTCAATAGAGGTGTTACAGGCATTCTTAATAGCAGTTATGGTATTTTTTGGGATACAGCAGAAACTATTCTCTCAAGAAGTTTTGATGATGAAACAATACCGGTACGCTGGGCTTCATGGAATATTTTTCAAGCACTTAAAGATAAAAATATCAAAAAAGTTAGATTAATCGCGCATTCTGAGGGTTGTGTTATTGCAAATTTGGTCATAAAAAAATTATACTGGGAATTGAGCTATTCAGAAAAAGACGAGTACGATGAAATCCTTCTTAATAAACTTGAGGTGTACACATTTGCAAATATTTCTAGAGAGTTCATAAATCCAAAAGGCTTGATTAAATGTATTGAACATTATGCAAATGAAGATGATTTTATTGCTCAAATTGGTGTCCTTCGTGAAGTTTGTAATTCACGTTTTCATGGAAAGATATTTATTAATAAAAATGCTAGGGGCCATCTTTTCAATAGGTACTATAGCCTTGATCCTGATGATTATATATTGTATAATAAACCGGAAGAATGCATTTCTGAAGATGAAGAGGATGAAAATGCTGAGAAGCCCACGTTTCTATATTTGTAAATCATAATATGTGCTTTAAAGTATTATTATTTTCTAGTTACAACTATATTTTATTTTGTCATTTGTTGGGCATTAATATTTGATTTATCAATTTATTCTTCGATAATATACTGTATAACTAATAGATTATTATTATTATAGACAATAAAATAATCTTCCTACAATTTCCTACTATTAGCAAGATTATTAAGTATTATATAGAATTACTTAAAGTCTTTATTATAAATGAAACATCACAAAGAACTTTCTTTTTAATTTAAAAGGAAGAAGATAATTCTATTTATATAAGTTAGATGTTTATATGTAATTTACATACTAAATCCATAATTACATTTGTATTTCATCCTATATATGTAATTGTGCATTTTTTCATTCAAAAGTTTCCAATTCGTTTACAATTATTTTAAAATTTGTACTACGACCACAAATCCTAAACCTAATAAACAATGCTGGAATGAATAAATAAGACTAAGTAATACTAAATATACGGTTAGCTATGAAAAAATAAAGTTAAATAATAGGTTATCAAAAAATAACTAAATAAATTAACTTGAACCATGGAATAACAATATTGAGAAAGATTTTAAGATCGGATCGGAGTAAATAATCAAGATAATATCGGACTATTATTGGACGTATACCATACTAGGACTACCATAATTATAGACTGGAACATTATTGTCATTATTATCTGTTGATTTGAAATTATATTAAAAAAAATGCCAAGGTTGTTAACTAATATTTATAATATTCTCTTTGATTAAATGTAGTATAGGTATTGTGCTTGAAATTGCGATTTCAGGTGCTTTAAGTTTATAGCTTCAGGCAGATACAAACTTCAGGCACGACATAGGAAGCATATAATTCGCAATAGCACTTATACTGCAAGAAATCCTTTTTAAATTTTTTAATAAACTAAATGCGCTCAACTTACGTGTTACATTATTATTATTATTATTGTTATTATTATTATTATTAATATTATTATTGATGTTCACATTACATTTTCTCTTGCAACACCAATAAATTAACGCAAGCATAATTATTAAAGAAATAAGACTACCAACAATAGATCCAGCGGCAGTACCTGTACCTGAGCTATTGTTATCGTTATTGTTAGAGGATCCACTTTTAGACGAATACAAAGGAGAATTTGGATTCACAGATGTTGGCGTTAAAGTAATATTGGAAGGTTGAATTATAAGATCCAAGTTCGTATCACATACTTCCGCAACGTAAGCAAAGTTAAAAATATTATTTGAAGGTCCAACTTGACATGTTCCAGATGTCAAAGAATCACCACACTGAGCTTTTACAGAGGTGGAGCCACAAGAATTACTAGTGTCAAGATTGCAACTATAAGAGCAACATCCAGTGGTAGGATTATAAGAATCCTTCATTTGATTCCGACCTAATATCCAATTTACAGCTAAAGAGCTTTTATCCGAAGAGTCACTAGAATATACGTAATGACCTTGTAAACAAAATATTCCAGTTTTATATTGGCAGGCGGTACTGGCAATTGAATCAGTCCTTCCACATGCTTGAAGTTCGGAAATTTGCCAACAATAACCTAAAGTACTAGCAGATGTGCATACAGTTGGATTCGCGACACATGTATTATTCTTTTCCGTACAGCATAATAAAGCTTTTGTTGGCGCCGCGCCTGATAAAGCATATTTGCAAATACCAGAAGAGTTTGAAGAAGACATAATTAAGCGAGACTACATGTATTATTAATTTATTCATTATTCATTTATTAACAGTATTTATATTCTACGAAAAGCTTTGAAGCAAATTAATTTTATCCTTAATGTCGTGTAAGGCAATATTTCAATATATTTGGAAAAAAAATAAAAATCTCAATTAAATTGTATATATATGTGCTTGTATCACTGCATAATCTATATTAAAAGAATCGTTTGACATTAAAACAATTGTTTAAGCACAAATTTTAAATAAGTAAACTTCATAATAAAGTTAGTGTTAAGGTTAAAATACGTAGTGAATAACCTATATCAAATTTCGTAAAGATTATTTGTTATTAACACGCAAAAGGTAGTTTCATAGGTAAAAGTTTATTAAAAAGAGTGAATTCACGTTATAACTGATTTTGTAATTTTATTGGACAAACTAAAAGCTTCTGAATAGAATTTTCTGCATTACCGCATTATGCATATCACAAATATTATTCCGAATATGTAACAAGTAAATGCTTAACAAAGAAATAGATAAAGAAGTTACAGTAGTCAAAATATATGAAAAAAGGAGTCAACCATAACAAAAACGCAATTACTACTGGATATTTAAATTTTTTGTTTCAAATAATTAAATGATGCTGAAATTTTAAAATTTTTTTGGGGTGTTTTGTTCGGTTTTTTTTTTATAGTCAGACTAGAATTTAAGGTTAGTGTTTATAATAAATGAGGCCCCAGATTTCAACCTCATCGATTTAGCATCATCCCAGACATTAGATAACCAAAAATTAATGTATCAAAATTTTCAGGATCTAATAGACGCTACAAAATTTCAGAAATAGCGTATTATGCAGAATTATGCGGATCATGACAATCAAAAACCATCTTGGCACACTGGCAAAAAAATGTTGGGGACCCACTTTACATATAACTACCTTAATTCTAATAAAAATGTCAGAATCCTAATAGAGGTCTTTTTTGGTTTTAATACAGCTGTCCTACTCTGTTTATTATATCGAAAGTACATCGGGTTTGTACGTATATGCAGAGCATCTTCATGCGTTGTGAATACATAGCAAAATTTCCACTTGTATGTGCAGCCGATGCATTTCTGACGCATTAAACAAAGTAGGGCAGCTGTTAAAAGTCGACTAAGACAGTACTAAAGTTCAATTGAAAGAATTTCAAGCCGGGTTTTAAATTAAAAGGGCAACCGACTATGATAAAATGAAAAAAGCATCAAGTAAAGCGGGAAAATTTTAATTATATACTCTAAAAATTTTTTTTTTATTCATTTACATTGAAAATTGTAATTTTCGTACGTACGAAATACCTGAGATACATTTCGTAATAAGAATGTAGTGTTTTAAAAGTATTATCTTTAAGAAGAGTAATGAATTTTAAAACTAACATCACAATATTCTGTCAGTATGTTATTGTTTTCGGTTGTTCAAAATATAATTAGTTTAATTAAATTATATTTAATAGTGCATATTAAAACTAGGAGGAATAGTGTTTACTGTCTACTTCCATATTTGTTTTTTTTTTTGTCACTTAACTTCCACAAATGTACCTTTATAGTATTAGTCATTATTATCTATTCTCAGTGGCTTAACCCATGCAAATTCCCCGATTCGCGTATACCTTGAATTGTCGCTTATACGCGGTTGCATAACCTGATACTGTAGGAAAGCATTTGAAGTCAGAATTAGAAGCATAGATGCTATAGCCTTGGCATAAATTTCATAAGAAATAGAATGCATTTATGCTCGCTGAAATAATCTCTAAATAAAAAATACATAAATATACATTTTTTATATAATAAATGCCTTATAATCATATTTTGTCATCAGGTTCCCGCATCTCTAAACTCGGCAACATAGTTAATCTCTCCCATATGATGGTAACACGGGCGATTCGGCGAGTCGGTCGCTTCTCAAACGGATACGTCGTGTAACCTACGAACGGCTTAGTCGATAAGAAGCGGTTAGATTTGGCAAGTGGTGTGTTTAGGATCGTAGGTTTTATAATATAATGTCACGAGAGCAGGAAACTATTTGGGTCAAAATGTATTGCAAGCACGAAAACTACTGCTCAGGTAGGGCACGAAGCCTTTATTATGTACTGTTATATTATATATGCGCTCCTACAGCTATTAAACATACTAAACTTATTATTTAACATATATATTCTTAATGTCCTGTATTACTTAAATCCACGATATATCATATATCCCTTTACTTATAGTTCTTCCTTAAAACCCTTATCACCGCTATTACCCTTATAATCGCTAAA